TGTTTAACTATGTCCTTGTGGAACGAGTTGTGTTTATTTAGTTATTTTACGTCCGAAGCTGTGTTTATTCTTCAGGCATTTGTCAATATCTGTTTCAGTATTATAAAATGATAATAAATGTTTAGATTCATCATTGAGGTTCCTCCGAATAGTTCAGTTTATCATCTTTGTATAAAAAAGTAAATAACGTACATACAAACCTGAACATTGTACACCAGCATCTTCATCATGTCTACAATTATGTGATCCCCATCCACTATGTGAACAACTCCAAATATTAATTTCATTTCCTACACAACGAACGTCGTCTAACCATATTCTTCCACTGCCATAAGGAACATTACCTCCTTGTAAAGCCCTGAAATAATAGTCATAGCCAAGTTGTCGACAAACAACTTCAGCATCGTTTATATCCCAGCCATCATCACAAATTGTTCCCCACTCTCCTTTGTAAAATACTTCCACACGACCTTTGCCAAGAGAACTTTCTGGTCCCCGAAGTCTAGCAGAGTTGAAAACTGATAAAAAAAATAAAATAAAGAGATATTGCCAAGCACAGAAGTCTCCACTCCGAAATATTCTATGTTACATGTATACATATAAAGTATCCTGTTATGTTAGATGCCATTGTAAAATCGTCTTGGGGGAAACTAATGATTTAAGTTAGTAACCAAAAATTAATAAAAAAACTTACATAATTACAATATTAAAACGTTTTGGACAATTAGATACACTATTTCACTTTCATGAGTCTAAAAAAACTTTATTTAGACCAGTCCTCATTTCTTTATGTAATATAAATAAATTCTTAACCCTTTAACTTGCGATGTTTCCTTTATTGGTTTTCCATTCAATCATTTGATTTTATTGCCATATGGCAGCACCTCACATAACTTGTTGAAACAGGCAAAAAATAAACAGTAAATTGTTCACATAGACTCTTTGTTTACAACGTGGGAATCCTTATCGTATTTTTGAAATAACTGTCTTTTTAATTATTCATAAATACGTTTCTGGTACTCTGTAGATATGGCTTTTGCAAAACTTTAACGGTCAGTAAAAAACGAATTTAAAAATGAATTTTTAAGATAGACATCACGCCATTGCAAGACATAACTTTACACAGTAGTGTAAATTTAGAGATGCTCCTTTTAAATATGCAAAATAATTTTAATGGAGCTTCATAAGCTACAGCTTACCGCTTGAAAAAGCTATAATGAACGTAAACATTCATAACAAAACTGATAACTTAAAGGATTATCACATTCCTCCACGGAAAATTTGCTCAACGGACGGCCCTATTTTTCTGGTTTTATCGAATCTTTTTATAGGCAATCATAAAATAGGTTATGTTTAATTATGCCCTCGTGGAACGAGTTGTGTTTATGTGGTTAATTTACGTCCGAAGCTGTGTTTATAATTAAGGCATTTGTCAATATCTGTTTTAGTATTATAAAATCATATTTAATGTTTCAATTAATCATTGAGAATCCACAAATAATTCAGTTTATTATCTTTCTATAAAGAGGTAAATAATGTACATACAAACCTGAACATTGTACACCAGCATCTTCATCATGTCTACAATTATGTGATCCCCATCCACTATGTAAACAACTCGAAATATTATTTTCATTTCCTACACAACGAACTTCGTTTAACCATATTCTTCCACTGCCACGTGGAACATTACCTCCTAGTAAAGCCCTGACAGCATAGTCATAACCAAGTTGTCGACATACAACTTTAGTATCGTTTGAATCCCAGCCATCATCACAAATTGTTCCCCATTCTTCATTGTAAAATACTTCCACACGACCTCTACCACTAGAACTTTTTGGCCCTCGTATTCTAACAGAATTGAAATCTGATAAAAAAAGAAAATAAATAGATATTGCCAAAAACATAGAAGTCTCAATTACGAAATATTCTATATTACATGTATGCATATAAAGTATCCTGTTATGTTAGATGCCATTGTGAAATCTTCTTGGGCGAAATTAATGATTTGAATTAGTAACAAAAAATTGATAAATAAAATTATATAAGTAAAATATCAAAACGTGTTGGACAATAAGAAACTATTTAATTTTCATGAATTTAAAAATTTTTTATTTAGACCAGTCCTCATTTCTTTATGTAATATAAATAACTTCTTAACCCTCTAACTTGCCAATTTTCCCCATTGGTTTTTCATTCAATCACTTGATTTTATTGCCATAAGGCAACACTGCCCCATAACTTGTTGAAACAAGCAAAAAATAAAAAATAAACTGTTCACATAGACTCCTTGTTTACAACGTGGGAATCTTTATCGTATTTTTAATATAATTGTCTTTTTAATTATTTATAAATACATTTCTGGTGCCCTGTAGATATGACTTTTGCAAAACTTTAACGGTCAGTAAAAAAAGAATTTAAAAATGAACTGTTAAGATAGACAGCACGCCATTACAAGACATAAAGTTAAACAGTAGTTTAATTTAGAGATGCTCCTTTTAAATATGCAAATAATAATTTTATTTGAGCTTCATAAGCTACAGCCTACAGCTTAAAAAAGCTATAATAAATGTAAATAATCGTAGAAAACCTGATAATATAAGGATTATCACAATCCTCTACGGAAATTTGGTCAATGGTCTGCCCTTTTTCTCACGTATTATCTAATCTTTATATAGGCAATAATAAAATAGGTTATGTTTAACTATATCCCCGTGAAACGAGTTGCGTTTATGCATTTATTTATGTCTGAAGCTGTGTTTGTTTTTCAGGCATTTGTCAATATCTGTTTCAGTATCATAAAATCAAAATAAATGTTCAGATTCATCATTGAGGATCCTCCGAATAGTTCAGTTTATCATCTTTCTATAAAAAGGTAAATAATGTACATACATACCTGAACATTGTACACCAGCATCTTCATAATGTATACAATTATGTGATCCCCATCCACTATGTGAACAACTCGAAATATTATTTTCATTTCCTACACAACGAATTTCGTTTAACCATATTCTTCCACTGCCATAAGGAACATTACCTCCTAGAAAAATCCTGACAGCAGAGTCATAACCAAGTTGTCGACAAACCACTTTAGCATCGTTTAAATCCCTGCCACCATGACAAATTGTTCCCCATTCTCCATTGTAAAATACTTCCACACGACCTTTTCCAATGGAACTTTCTGGTCCCCGAAGTCTTACAGAGTTGATAACTGATAAAAAAAGAAAAAAAGTATATATTGCAAAACACAGAAGTCTCAACTCCAAAATATTCTAAGTTACATGTATACATATAAAGTATTCTGTTATGATAGATGCCATTTAAAAATCTTCTTAGGCAAAATTAATGTATTAAATTAAAAACAAAAAATTGATAAAGAAAAATTACATTAGTACAATCTCAAAACGTTTTGGAGAAGTGGACAGTATGTGACTTTCATGAGTCTAAAAAATTTTTTATTTAGTCCAGTCCTTTTTTCTTTATGTAATATAAATAAATTCTTAACCGTTTAACTTTTGAATTTTTCCCATTGGTTTTCCATTCAATCATTTGATTTTATTGCCATATGGCAACACTGCCCCATAACTTGTTGAAACAAGCAAAAAGAAAGAATAAATTGTTCACATACACTCTTTGTTTATGACGTGGGAATCTTTCTCGTGTTTTTAAAGTAATTGTATTTTTAATTATTCAGAAATACGTTTCTGGTGTTCTCTAGGCATGGCTTTTGCTAAACCTTAACGGTTGGAAAAAACAAAGTTAAAAATGAATTCTTAAGATAGAGAGCACGTCGTTACAATTCATATGCTATAGCCTACAGCTTCAAAAAGCTATAATGAATGTAAACAATCGTAACAAAACTTATAATACAATGATTATCACATTCCTCCACGGGAAATTTGCTCAATGGACTGCCCTTTTTCTCTGGTATTATCAAATTTTTTTGGGCAATCATAAAATAGGTTATGTTTAATTATGTCCTCGTGGAACGAGTTGTGTTTATTTGGTTAATTTACGTCCGAGGCTGTATTTATACTTGTGTTCAATCACTTGATTTTATTGGTATATGGCAACACTGCCCCATAAATTATTGAAAACAGCAAAAAATAAACAGTAAATTGTTCACATAGTCTCTTTGTTTACAACGTGGGAGTCTTTATTGTATTTTTAAAATAAGTGTCTTGTTAATTATTCATAAACATGTTTGTGGTGCTCTCTAGGCATGGCTTTTGCTAAACCTTAACGGTCAGTAAAAAAGGAATTTAAAAATGATTTTTTTAAGATAGACAGCACGCCATTACAAGACATAAAGTTAAACAGTAGTGAAAACTTAGAGATGCTCCTTTTAAATATGCAAAAAAATTTTAATGGAGCGTCATAAGCTACTGCCCACAGCTTCAAAAAGCTATAATGAATGTAAACAATCATATCAAAACTAATAATATAAGGATTATCACATTCAACCACGGAAAATTTGGTCAATGGGCCCCCTTTTTCTCTGGATTTATCTAATCTTTTTATGGGCAATCATAAAAAAGGTTATGTTAAATTATGTCCTCGTGGAACAAGTTGTGATGGTTTAGTGATAAATCCATACCTTGGCACGAGTTACATTCTCCTGAGTATCCTTCCATACACGTGCAGTTCAATGATCCATTAATTTTACGATAGTATGTGTTGGGTCCAAATAAAGGAAAACGAAAAGTGTTTGTCGCTATATAGATTAATAAAATTAAAAATAAAATCAAACATGGATTTTAAACGAAACATGTTTTTCCTAAAGGAACACAGTTTGTCACTCAGTATCTACAATGACGTACCCATTTAAGAAGTTTGTTATGAAATGTTGATATTTTTGGTGTATCAATTCATCAATATTTCTCACAAAATGTGTCAAAGCTCATGTACTTTGGCATTACCCTGTCTTGTTGATTTAAAAGTAAAATGAATTAAAAATTAATCTCGAAAACCATGAGAGTACTTCGTAATTGCCTCACTTTGAACTGCATGCACAAAGAAAATGAAAAGGTTCAAATGTAGTTTAATCCAAAGATGTAAAAGTTTGAACTCTGTTTTGCAATGTACTAAATATTTAGAAAATTTGATAAATATTAAGCTCACTGCACAACATGCTCAAATTGGACGTTTTTGTCTTTCAACCTATTTTCATGAATTTTTTTCTTAATTAAGACTGATTACAAGACGAGTGGTCGTTGAAATGATGTAAGAAACAATAAAGACGTAAATTTAACACCCAAGAAGTTTGGTAAGAATAGACAAACGGCAAAAACGTCCAAATTAGACACTTTGCACTGTGTACTTAATGTTTATCAAACTTTCTATAATTTTGGAAGGAATAACAAACGCTTACTAAGGCAATGTAACTTTGAACTTTTTGACGTCTTTCTATTTTATGTAGATTAGCGTGGGAGTTTTTGAAAGTCTTAGATCATTATGTCAAATAAGTAAATTTTAGCTACCGTTTGAGTGAGGAGTGATACTGTGTATAACTACAGCCAAATCAAGATAACCATTGTTTATAGGATGAAAAAATTTACGTCTCAAACGTTGATCTGTTGTGTTATGGACACTAACGACGCTTCGTCCAACACCACTCATGATATAAATCAAATCCCCAAATACTGCCATGGGACCTCCTGAAGTTCCAAAATCAATTACATTATGGGAGTAGTAATCACAAGAAAAAACATTTCCATTTGAAACTCGCCAATAAATCTTCTCTTTAGCCATGTCAAGCGTTAGATCATGTGCTATTGACTGAAGTGAAACTGAAAAAATATGATGTTTATTCGCAGTCATGCTCCATAACCATAAGAAAACTTCTGTACTTTCTGCCAAGAATAGATACCTTAATAAAAATATTTGTTTTGTACATTAGTTTTCTCCATACGTACTGAAATACATAAAAAATAAACAGGCCAATATATGCCAGAAAAGAAAGATAGAATGTATTTTAGTTTAGACAAAGATGTGGTCAATGTATTCAGAATTACCTTTATATATAAACGGTTTAATGGAACATATTCATGAAATTTGATAATAAAGCAACCTTAAGCTATTGTAACTAGCAGAAAAAGATTATCTTTATCCTTTGAAATCTCTCTTTTAAAAACCGAACTAAAATATATGAAGTAATTAAAGCATGTGATTCAGAGCATAACAAATGTAATAATATGTTATCTTTATTCACATAACTTCTATAATGATTGGTATTATTTGAGATGATTGTCGGAATGAGTAATGCTGTAGTTTTGAGTGGCTGCTGAATGAATTGTGTTGGTAATTAATAATGCTGAAAATTAGCTGTTGCGTGGAAATTTTATTCGAATATGAAAATTTGGTGTTGGTAAATGATATGCACCATTTAATGTAGGTATAACATTAAGAAAGCTTTGTCATTTCATTTTATAGGCTTTCTTACTTTTTCAGTTTCATCTTGCATGAAAAGTAGCAGCTCCTTAGAGGGATCATCGTCTACAAATATCTTTCAAAGAGCTATAGCTTCAGAACACTGTCTTTCGTTGATACTTTTTTTTAGTTTGTTTGGACAAACGATTTTTTACAACTATCTTAATCTTCTCTTTTTAATTGTCAAGTTTTTTATTGTTTTTCTGAAAAATCAGAAAACAATTGACACTGGAGCTAGCACTATTAGTATCATTTGAAAATGATGATTCTATCGCCATGTCATGTTGGTGTTTTTAAGAACCTATGGATTAGACAAGCTGCAAAAACTTCTTGAACACTGTGGCCTTTACTTTATCGAAAATGTTTGATGCAACTGACAGTTTTGATTATAATCGCAGCATATATGCATTCTCCAATACATTTCTTAAATATATTACGCATTTAAGTAACAGTTAAGTGCTTGTCTTCTTGTCGTTCATTGCACATTGCCCCGAACTCTTTATAAACTTTCTCGTATATACTACCGCTCTTTTTGTTTTTTGTGTTCGTTAAAATTAATTTTTTCTTGTAATATGATAAAAATTAGTGCCCAACATAAAGTTTGAATTAGAGCCATAGAAATAGACCAAAAGTTGTAAAATGGAACTTATACTGACGTTTCGTCATTACTCAAGACATATTTAGGCAAGTAATAATTTATAATGAGATGTTAAGACAAGATATTGTACTTACAAAAGGTGTTAAATTACGACTTAAGAAGGCGGTGTCAAATGGAATACATGATAAAGAAGTTGGGAAGTAAAATATACTGAAGCTAAGAGAGGTTAAGTGCAATGGAACTTTCTTGAACAATGAGTGAAAACTTGTATGTATTGATTAGAAGGCTCTCATGAATGGAGAGTTCATAGGAATCGTTAGAAGAGGAAATTTTTTTAAATTCGTAAATTATTTATAACATATTCAGAAAGTTCTCGTTTCACAAGGCTTTTCAGCCAATTTCTTTTTAATCTCTAACATGATTATTATCTTCAAATTCATCATCAGTTGAGCAAATACAGACCTAACGTTTGCCTAAGATACACTAAAAAACACTGCATGAACTAAAGGTTGTGGAATGATTTTCCATTACGGTTATTTGATTGGATGTGTAGCTCTTGATTTTTTAATATACTCCGCCATTCAATGCAATTTAAAAGAAGGCTAGAAAAACTATAAACTTGGTATACTATTTTTTTTTAAATTGCCACATTTTTTGAAAACTAAAATCCATTTTTATATTTTTGATGTAACTACGTTGGAATTTGTGCATTTTTTTCTAATCTTCAATAAAAAATGAAAAGTTGAAGTTTTTTACGTTCACCACCTTCATGAATTTTTTAAAAGTTTATTGCCATTTCATATTGACATTGTTGCACATCTCTTACACAGCCTGAAAAATCGTTAAAGTATATGAAAGGGCACAGCATAGCAACAAACAATCCTCCCAATCTGTTGAAATCTTTTGTGTGTGGCATATCTTATTAAGCATATGATAACCATGGAGGCGTAAAGCAAATTGCATTTTCTGACAAAGAAAATCACTCTCAGGTGGACAGCCGAAGCAAGTACTCTAACTAAATGTACAGCACCAAGTTGCACAGAGAAGTTGGACTGCTTTTTGTTTATAGGGTGTGGCAAACCAATGTTCTGTGAGTATTTGACTAAAGTTTAATTATTTAATACTTTATTGCAGTTTCTACCTCTCTGTTTTATTTCATTTAACGACTTCATCAATTATAAACATTGTTTTCTCCGTTGTTACATTTTTGTCAAAGCTATTTGGTTGCTCAACATAAATATCGTTGTCGATTTTTGCAATTTCAGGATCTGCATGTTATTTTCTACTGCATGTGTGCTGAATAATCACATGAACTGAGCTCATCCTTGCAGTTGGTTTGAAATGCCTCATAGTCGCGCAATAAAATTTTGCTTGCCGAATTTCGTTATTTTATTGAACAGCTGTCGAAATATATGACGTTTGTTTCTTTATACACAAAAAAATACTTAATATTCGCTCCCTTGGGAAAAGCGAGTTTTTGTTTTCTCTCGAAAATCAATATTTTTTCCTATTCTTGCACTTTTAAATAATACACCATAATACGGACTTCAAACTTCAAAAGTTCAACTTTTGGAATTAAAATGCCCTCTCTAATAATAAAAACTTTTAGCTTACTTAAGAAAACCCTCCAATAGATTAACATATTTTCTTAATTTTACGTTTAACAAGTTAATAAAAGGAATTTCAATATCGCCTTACCCATGTTTTGAGTCAAATGCAATGCTGGAAAATTGTAATCCTGGTTGAAGCGTCATAACACTTGTAATTTTCTTTTTCAAAAAAATTTGGTAGATAATGTTCGTAGAGTCAATGTAAAAGAGACGACGACCGATCCAGTCAACTGTAATATCATGAACAATAACATTTTTCGCAAAAATTTCGTTGCTAGTTAAGTCAAAATTTCCCCGTTTGATGTTTTTGTCATCAACGTAGTACAGCACATTCTCAACTACATCAATTTCTATGTCATTATATCTTGATGCATGGTCAAATTTATTCTTACTGGCTCCATTAATAGTGCTGACATCAATATCTCCAGTAATAGAATCAACAGAGTATACTTTATCAAAGCTCATAATAATCAAATATGGCTTTGGATAAACATCTAAATAAACAATAAAAAAACTATAAATAACAGCGATGAGAGTGGATTGAAAAAATGCAAATTTTTATAGACTGTAGAATCATAATATTTGGTGAAAGTCCAGAATTTTTTTTTTTAGAAAGAATTTTTCACTGTAGAAATATTACTAACAACTGAAATTAGTTTGGCTGCGTAACCTCTGCCTATTATTGTTGCATATTGCTTTTGGTGTTATGAACAAGAAACTATGAAAATTTGTCAAGTCTAAAGATTGTACCTTCGTAAAAACATATTTCTGTTTGCATTTGCATCATTTCTTTGTTGTATTGTTTTACTTCCTTGCATGCAGTTGTGCTATCGTCATAGCCATTTTTATCAACGCAAGTTTCCATCCATTCTTTCACGTTGTCTTTTAGTGTCTCTAAGCTTTTCTTGCAGATTGATATGTCGTCATTACCATTTACTATTTGCCCACTAATAGACAGGATTATGAGAGTCCAAAGAAACGCTTTTGTTGAGCTTGATATCATCTTATTTTCTGTTTTTAGAAGGTGCAGGATTATTAATTTCTTTAAAGCTTTCGTAGTAAAATATTTACTTTTTTTATGAAAGGCTTATCATCAATATAATCGTATAATCAGTTTGTTCTTAAACTTTTTTGGGATGTATAATCAATTATTGATTTCTATAATTATGTAACATTTTAACTTCCTTCTCCAAAAAGTATTTTGAAGTTTCCTTTCAGAAAATTAATGATGATTGAATATTGTTGCAATAGATTAGACAAATTATTCATTATAATGACTCATGTTTACAACAACTCATATAAGTAGAGTTCCTCAGCGTAGAACTTGTTTTGAATAAATAGATGTAAGGTTTTTAGGAAATGAAGGCATAGAAAGAAATAATACATTTCAATGTCCGCTATAAAGAAATGACGCAAAATATGAAATTCACCAAGAGCAGTTTAGAAAAAATTTAAAATAGTTTGATTCCAAATTTGCTCACGTTAACTCAGTTTTCCAGATGAATGGGAAAAACGTATTGCTTAACTAAGCCAGCAAAATTGAGTGCAAAATACTCTGTTGCTCAGTGTTTAACAGACTCCCTTGCCTCTTTGTAACTACATGCCGTCTACTTAAAGAAAGGAAAGCTTTTAAGCCATACATGATATCCTGTTTAAAACACCTGTCAGTCGTATAGAGAAGTGCGACTCTCATAATTATATAAGTTCTGAATTAAATGAAATTTATGAGCATTTGACAGAACTGATAAAGTAAAGAAAGTCTATAAAGCTAAATAGAGGAATGCTACTTTGCAGTATTAAAAAATTTATACTTCTTCAAATATTTTGTTTCAGACAATTAAAAGGCATTTGCCACCTGTCAGAAATATTCTTGCAATATTGATTAATTGTAGCAGAAGAAACAAGAGACGAAAAATGTATCATTTGTTCTACATGCACTTCTTGCACTTTAAAATGACTTGTGTATTGATGTTTGATGATGATTATCCCCATTTAAATTTTTTGAATTATGTACCTCTCTTTCTTTATCATTTCCGTCAATCCTAAATCTTAGTTTTAACGTCCAACAAATATTCTTTATCACACATGCATTCAAGTTTTAGTTTACTATCATTCTCATCTAAAAACGTAAAACACTTTGCAAAAATTTTATAATTTTTAAATCTCTATGATAGTTAAAAAACATTTTTTTGTTATCTGTATTTAGAATAAAAATACTTAATGATGGTTGCTTCAAATATTTTTGATGTAGCTACGATTTTCTATAGCGTATCAATGGAAATATGATATAATACATTTCCAGACATTCATAAATATCAATTAATAGAATTTTATCATTGGTTGTGATCAATCAATTCGTTTTTGTTTTCATCATAAGGATAAATATAAAATGATAAAAAGATTTGCGAAACGGTAAAAGTTTTTTAAAGAATTTTAGATTAGTCAAATTACCAGATGGCAGCTATGTATATATGATGCATGGCTGCGCTACTCTAAACTACAGAAAATGTTTAAAAAAACATACAAAAATATTTCATAATGCTTTAAGTATTTTATACGATAAAGATTGTGTTAAATTATCTGTTGGATTACGTTTAAGCATGACTATGATAAATGAAATGTATGGTCTTGACAAGGAAGTTTTATCCATAAGAACTATTGTTCTTAAATTATGTGATAGGCTCTGAATTTTTGGTTTTCTCTATGTTTTCTTTACTTACCTTTGAAGACGCAATTTGGCTATCAGTGAAATTTATATTTTGAATTCTGACGAGTTATTTTCTATTCTTCTCAAACAGCAGCTTAGAAAAAATATAACTGAAGCAGAAATTGTCTTGTCCTAAAGTGCTAGTAATATTGGATTTTTGAATTTTGACATCAACACAAGACAAGTACTTTTCTGTGGACGGCGACACAAATTTTGATAATTTTTCATTATCTTTGGGATGATGAGCCATAATTGCAGAAATTAAGTGTCAGAAAAAATATGCAACAAAAATATTACTTCAACAATTCCAAGAAATACCATTTACATTGAAAATAACAGACCAAATTATTTTAATTCCTTATAACAATACCCCCCGAAAAAATATGCTTATAATGACGTTATTCAAATAGGTCAACTATTTCAAGTGTCTCTTTAAACTAAAAGAAAAATGTTCACTGCAGATGTTAGTTTCTGTTCGTAGATAAGATACTATAAGGCAAAAAAGAAGTATTGTCTATAAGCAACTTTGTTCAGTTTTTATAGTTCACTATAATTTGTTTTACCCCTTTTCTTCTAAACCTAACATATGTTTGTGTCTTATTAACATAATGTCACGTATGTTTGTGTCTTATTAACATAATGTCAAGTTTAAGTTGCTTGGGCCCATTACTTGTGCAATATGTATACATCATTCGATTATACTTTTGATTTTACAAATGCGTTCTCTCAAATTTATTCTATATAAAAACGCTTTTTGCAAAAAAAATCTGCAAAGAAATGTCTCTTTTGTTACGTTGCTTTTGAGTCAGATTGTGTGACTGGTAATGTTTAATACTGATTGCAAAAAATATAAACACCTCTTAAAAAAATTCCTTTTAATGTTTAAATTATTGAACAGCTTAATTCCAATGACGTAATATTATTAGGAGTGCAATCTGACTCACGCTACACATAGTAGATATCATGCAGCTTTGTCACACTTTTGTCACGGAGCTCTTACCCGTGCCAGTTAGTTTCCAGTCCGCTGAAGTTGATCGGAGCACGCGCATGTCAACTGGAAATAAGGGTTAATAAACATGACATGGCATTGGATGGTGTGAAAATCGGAAATACGACAAAGCTGGAAGTTGCATGCTATTGACAAAGTAACATTAGATCCGCCTTTTGTTTTATTGGTTAATAAACCGGATTATGTCATTGTGTATTCATTCTTCAAACTATATAATCGAACTATCGTCTTAAAAAATGTTATTTGCGTTGTTTATTATTGCATTGCTTTTGGACGTTTTGAAAAAAAAACAAAAAAATATGGCACACATGTTTAATCAGATATATGCAGACACTGTTGAGTTTGAAGAAGTTAATCACAGCGATCTTATCAATTTGATTTTCGTCGATTGTATAAGTAAAAAGATTCAAGAGGTACGAAGAGCTGAAAAGGATGAAAGTAAAGCAGACCCTTGGGTAGAGTATCAAAACGTTTTAGACATGATGACTGAGGAAGATCATTAGTTCAATTTTGCAGCTCGAGCAGTCGAAACAATTAATCGCGAACATGTCTGGAATGGAATATGTGAAGCCTTTAAGTTTCTAAAGAACTGCGGACCTACGAACTCTCACAAGACATATTTTGACAAACTGTTTAGTGTTACTTGGGTAAAACTAATGTTAATGTACACGGAGACAAAACGTCCTCCTTTTTATCAACATCTCTTTGACTATGCTGATTGTAGTTGTAAACTGAAATACAGATCAACTATGTAATTGCTTTGACAAAAAAAATAAAATATAAATTTCAATGTTATTGCATTTTGACTTCAGTTGTTTTATGACCATGTCATTGTGAAAATGGGAATCGGTAGCAGCAAACGTGAAAATAGAAGTGCAAAAAGTGATAAAAATCATAATCGTCAGAAAATGTTTTGCTTGGGTATAAATTTCGGACGAAACGATCTCAATCTTGAGGGTCATTTGCAAGCAGGATACACTAGTAAAACTGTTAAAAATTATGGACCCAATTATGGACCCAATTATTTGCGAATAATTGTAGGGTGACCTATAGGATAACGGCGATTTTTCATAACGAATGGATAAAGACTTGTAAAATCGTTATAAAAGATTTTCTCATTTTCTTCGGCCTTACGAAACAGTTTAAAACCCTCAACTCTTCCACCAAAAAAGCTATCGGAAGGGTAAAGTCTGTTATAAATTTATGTGTGTTTAAAAAATGCTGCATTTGAGGAGTTTGTCTGAGTTGCTTGAAATCATGCTCCCATATGGTGGTTTACTTTATATCCTAACTCCGTTAATCTTTTTTCACGCTCAATGGTTCGGTTATATGCTTCTCTTAGCGTTGTACCTGTACGGTACGGATTTTCACTCTTCAAATCCAGGCATAAAGGGCAGCCGTGATAAACTTTTCCGTAGAACTCATACACGGTGTTTGTGTTTTCACAAAATCCATCGACATAATAATGTTTATTTAACAACGGATCATAAATAACTTTCTCCCCATTATGAAGACCATGTTTGATATTGCTTTTTGTTTGAAAGGAAACAAACTCCAGCCACTCAATGGCACTGTTTGAATACGGTTTATTGCTATCACGATACATATTCTTAGGTATAATGCCAATGGTTTTTTCTTTTAAATAGTTTGAACGAAACACTGCCATGACCGAAGACGCAATTGTACAATAACAAAATGGGTCTACACGTGTTTCGGCCAAAAACAACTTTCTGAATTCCATGCAACACAAACGCAAAATAATTACATCTTGAGAACAGTATTTGTACATTTCTTTTTGAAAGTCAAAAACGTATCCCTCATCAATTAAATTCTGATGCCATGCAATTAGCTCATCTCTTTTACATTTTGACTTTGTGTCGGGCTATAATATTCAAGAGCCAGAATAGGTCCAACGTATTTCTGATTTTCTCGTGTGTTAAATTTAAAAGGGAAATCGCCT